ATTTTTTCTAGAATTTTTGATAGAGCTGACAGCAAGCTAATAGGTCGGAGATCACCAGGAACCTGGGGATTGGGAATCTTTGGAAGAGGTTGCACTAATGCTTCCTTCCAAGCACTTGGAAAAACACCGCGCTCTAAACAACAATTTATTAAGTGCAAAATGTATATTCCTACAGCAGGTAGACACAATTTAATCATCTCAATGGTAATGCCATCAATACCACTAGAATTGGACTTGATACTGCGAATAGCATCCAATACTGTAGATATATCGACAAGACGGAACTGAAAATGAAAATCTTGGTTTAATTTGTTATGGCTATAAAATTCGATAGTTTCCGAGCAATCATCGTCACTTTTCTGGAATATACTGGTAAAATAGTTATTTATTTCATTGGGAACTGCTAAGTCATCCGGAATGTCAGTATTACTAGAATCCTGAATTCTAAATGACTTAAGAGCTTTATAAAGAGCTGCAGAGTTTCTTTGTCGAGATAGATGTTGAAGGTAGCCTGATTTCTCTGCACGTGTAGCAGTTTTGGTAAAATTTCTCAGTTCATTGTAATGATTTCGATTCGCATCCGTTCGAGACCGTCTATATTTATGAAAAGCCTTATCTCGTTCTTTCATTATCATTTTCAAATTGTTTGTGAGCCATGGTGCACGAGGCTTAGACACTCTCACTGTTTTTAGTGGTGCATGTATGTCAAAAAGTCCTACAATGTTATCGGAAATAAATTTTACTTTCTCATCGATATTAGCCATATAAATAACTTCAGCCCAATTAACGCTAAATAAGTCATCGTCAAAAGAGGTTAGATCAAAATTGCGATAGTCTCTAAATGTAATTAGTCTAGGTGGTGGTTTATTGTTTTTACACGAAATGTGACAGAATACAGCCTGATGATCACTAAAGTTAACAGTGAAAGTTCCCACTTTGGAACATCTTTGTGCACAGTTGAGGAAAAACCGGATCTAAAGCGTTGAAGAATGATCAATTATTCGAGTTACCACTCTCTTCAATAACTGGTTGCAGGCTGTAAGATTGAAAGCACTGATTAATCTTATTATCAATAAAGAAATTAACGTTGAGGTCACCAAGTACCAAGATGCATTCATTAGACGGTGCTAAGATGGACAACGTATTATCTAATATACTTACTGCAAACATCCAAACTTCCCCGTGGCGGTCTATAAATAACACCAACTACAATACATTTACGGCCAATACCAATAACCTTGAGCCAAGCATTTCTAGAGAAGTACGATCATATTCCTCAAACGATAGAATTTCTGATGAAAAACGATTTTTGACATACAGCCAACCCCACCTCCGCGACTACCACGATCACGACGATGGAAGTCATAACCAGAAATATCTACTGAATTTGTTGGAATATCTGAAGACAGCCATGTTTCTGTAACAGCCACTACATCGAGATCCATATCATTAACCATGAAAGAAAGGTCCGCCATTGAAGGAAGAATTGATCTGGTATTAGAGTGAACAAATTTAATAATGTCAGCCATAGTTAATTCTACTTCTCAAATTATCAAAATGGCTTTTAAAAACAGCACAACAGCTAGAGTAAGACGCGTGATCAGTTGGTAGACCTTTCTTACTGGTTTTGTTAACATTAAGACAATTTATGCATTGGAAAACAGATGATTTACAATCTTTCTTCTCAGACATCTGTGGATTCATTCAGTTGCAGTGAAAAATAAGCACGATTAAAGTCATTCTTAACTGTACAACTATATATATATATATATAATATATATATATATATATATATATATATATATATATATATATATAACTTGAGACGTGGTCATTGTCGTCTAGACCAGTTAGGTGAAAAATTAAAGCTTCCGCCTTTTGTTGGGTACTTCGACAAGATTTAAGCAAAGAGGACTCTTTATACTTTTCAGCACATGCAGATAATGATTACTACATCAAAGACTCATTTGAAGTCTCTCGTCAGTTCAATAGATTGACAATACCAGCCGATCATATTATCGCCAGTCTTGATGTGGTGTCGCTATTCAGCAACATCTATCTGGATGCATGTACAAGAACTATTAATAAACACTGGAATGAGATAAGTCAACACTGCAACATATCTCTAGAATCTTTCACCAACATTATAACATTCCTTTTTCATAACAATTATTTCTCTTTCAACAACAAAATAATTCTCAAACACATGGTTGTCCTATGGGATCTGTTCTGTCACCAATTTTGGCGGAATATGTCATGGATGATCTGCTTGATACTGTTATTCCGACACTACCCTATAACCTCTTCTTCATAAAAAAATACGTAGATGACATTATTTTATGCCTCCCTTCCATAGGTCTGGATGGTATTGTCAGAGAATTCAACAGCTATGACCCCTACATCCAATTTACCATTGAAAAAGAAGATGAGAACCTGTCTGTCCCCTTTCTAGACACAAGACTCATTCGCACCAACAACAACAGTTTATTGGTAGACTGGTACCAGAAACCTATGGCCTCAGGTCGGTTTCTCAATTTAGGTCATACCATAAGCTAGGGATTAAAATCAATTTGGTAAAACAGATGAAAACAAGGGTAATCAGCATCTCAGATAATACCTTCCACACCCCAAATTTACGTAAACTATCAAAACTGTTCATCAATAATGGTTATCCGAAGTGTCTGATTAACAAGATCATTTTTAGTTCACCTTCCAATATTTTGCCGAACTCTGGTGATGCAGTTAATAGTCGCACAACCCCTAATAACGGAACTGATGTAATTCCCAATAATAACATCAATCCTAACAGTACTAGCACCAACCCGGACTCCAGACCTGGTTTTGCTGTCCTGCCCTACATCAAGGAACTGACCCCTAAGCTGATCAGATTGTGCGGTCCTTTGAACTTTCGAATTGCTTGCAAATCCGTCCTCACTATAAACTGCATTTTTTCAAAAATGAAAGACAAAGTCCCGCTGCTTGGTTTAACCAACACAGTCTACTCCATCAATTGCAACAACTGCAACCAAATATACATAGGTCAGACCTCCAGATCTCTTAAAGGAAGGATTACATCACACAAAAGTGATGCTAGGCTACATCCTGAAAGATGCGCTCTAGCATCTCATGTTAACACAACAGGGCATTCTATGAATTACACAAGTATCAAAGTTCTTGATAAAGAAAAACACCTTTCCAAACGTTTATTCCTGGAAATGTCCCACATTTTCATGAATAACAACTGTATCAACAAAAAGACAGATGTTAAACAACTGAGTGTCATTTACTCATATTTGCTAAACTGCGAAAAATTGGAGAACTTACATATCTCCCCAAATTTCAACTCTTCACAACCATAATTATTAGAATCTGTGTTTTGGCCGTTTCCACCAGTAAAATTCATTCCACTCAAAATATAATAACTCTCTCCTCACGATTTATTAATAATTGTCAATTTAAATTCCCATTAATAATAATATAGTTTATTCAACTGCCTCTGGTCGGTTTAACAAATTCTAACATAAAATTCTAAAAATCTCATCATCTAAGTGATTTGGCAACGTTTTGGCACACGCCCACATTCGTTCCATCTTCAATACTGACATTGACATCCTTCGGCCTTCTGTCAAAGGGTTTCATGTCACTCATCAATTCATCATTCCATGACCACTAATTTGTGCAATCATCAGGTGGTTTCACGATGTAATGTTTAAAATTTTTTAAATAATTTTTAATCTGTTTTTAACTTGTTCTTGTCATGTTTTGTATAAATTTTGACTATTGTGCAATCTATTCAGCTCTCACCATGTTACTGGACGTTTCCCTCATCTTATACGTAAACAACAATTAGCAACATCCTCACATACTACTGTAAGTTGAGTCAATTTAAATTCATTTTACACCTTTGTTGCTACTGTTATCATTGTAATTGCAGCTCCTGATGATGATGGCAAAGTCCATTGAAAGCTAGAGAGAATTAAAAAAAGTATAAAGAGTCCTCTTTGCTTAAATCTTGTCGAAGTACCCAACAAAAGGCGGAAGCTTTAATTTTTCACCTATATATATATATATATATATATATATATATATATATATATATATATATATATATATATATATATCTTTGCTTATTACTTCTACTCGTCTCATCACTGTATTAGCAGAAAGCTTTTATAGCAGACACTATCTCGTCTTTATTTCTAAACTTGGCAAATAATGAATCTGCAGCTTCTAAAAAATGCCTGTTTCCTTCTTTCATGTATTTATCTGGAACAGCCGGTATGATGCTTCAGTTGCAGCCTTACTATTGTCGATTATTTTTAAAAACATTGTCTCTTATCCAATTAACTGATTTTTGAATTGTTTCAGTTGTTCAGAACGTAATGGGAATGATTTTTCGAAATTCGAATGTACAGTTTCATAGTGCCTCTCGATATTCGTTTTTCCAGCAACGGAAATAGATGCTAAAATGGGTTTAAAGATGGGAAAAAAAGAAAACACTGGGTCTTGAAATTTAAAGATTCTATTCAGAGCTTTAACGTCCGTAAAGATGTCAACGAGTTCACTAAAAAATGTTTCCCTTAAGGACCGTGATTGGGTCCCTGTTTAGATGTGGCAACGTTGCCCATATGATGAAGTAAACGGCACCCTCTAAGATGGCACTCAAGAGAATTGGAGGCGCAACGTCCCTTAATTTGCAATTAATAGGTTCATCTACACAACTCCCGGATCTTCATCGATCCATTATTAAACGGGCAATCATGAGGATGTTTGCCACTCCAGGGAGTGTAATATAATATCTCGTACGTATGAGCGATAGGTTTGGAACGCATAGAGATGTCGAACGAAATAATGTGGTTTCCGACATCGCAGATCAACTGAGCTAAAATTATAGCTCAGGTTTATCGAGTTTTTTTTCATACGTTTGTAGGGCGGGGGGCTTTGGACCAAATTCCATTAGCCAGAGATTTTTATAATTTGTGTTACGTGGTGCTTAGCTAATTTTGCGATCTCAACTATTCTATCCAGAATGGACTTTCTGTTTAAACTTAGTAATGATGACAGTTGGATTGGAAGTGATATCTGACCCTCCAAATTTAATCTTTCTATTAAATTATAATCATAGGGCTAATTTGTTGTGCATTCAAAGAAGGTTTGGGTTAAATCTGCTACTTGGTGTTGTCACAGTCACACCAATTATCATCAATGATTCCCAATATGAAAAGATGGTCCCCGAATCTACTAGGATTTAGTCTCAATCTCGTTATTAGCCTAGAATAAAATCCTCCTACTTGATAATTGAAAACGTGTGGTGACATGACTGGTAAAGAAGGATTGATTATTGCATACGGACTTATGGCATTACTACGTAGTCGTGCCATAAGTTCTGTCCCATGATAATCTCATGATAAAAATGAAACAAGATAAGATATATTTATATGAAAGATATTATTTATTCGACAACATTTTTAGAATTCATAATCAAACAGTTTTATTCAAAATGTCCCCCCTTGGCCTTCACACACTGCTTCAATCTCGCGGGCCACTCATCTATCACTGCACGCACAGCTTCCAAAGGAATAGCTGCCGCTGATCGGATCAAATCCGCTTTCAGGGACTCGATATTACGGTGGGCTTTGGAGCAGGCCAACTGCTCTAGCAGGTCCCACAACTTGTAGTCTAAAGGATTGAGGTCCGGACTCCCTGAGGGCCAATCTTCCGCAGCAATGAACTCTGGCACATTGCTTTCCAGCCAGCGCTGCGTACTCTTAGCCTTGTGAGCGGGGGCGGAATCCTGCTGGTAGACCCAGTGTTGGTTGGCAAACAATGTACCACTTAAAGGCTTGACGATAGGATCCAGTATGTCGCTCTGATAGTTTGCCGCTTTTGTTTTCACGCCCTGTTTACAGAAATGGAGCTGAGTGACCCCTTCGTAGGACACCCCCCACCAAACCATGACTGACGCAGGGTGGTGGCCTCTCTCAACTCTCGGAATGATCTCCGAAGCTTCCTGTGAACTCCTTGCATACACTTTGTCATTTTGTCGGTTGAATTTTTCTTCTATGGTGAAGATTTTCTCATCCGTGAACAAAATCTTTCGGAATCCCCCAGCTGCGTACCTCTCCAAGAGCTTCTTGGATCTTGTCGCGCTGATGTGTCGCAAGGTGGCCGTAAGTCGCTGGCCCGTACG